GTATGATTCTCTGGAAACCAACGTTTGGCTTTAAGTGTGGACGTTTATCGATGCATTATCTTGCATAGATACAAAATCTTCCTTATCAATTCTATTCCAGAATATGTGTATCAAAATTTCCTGAACTTACAGATATTACAAGGAAAACTTTCAATATTTGAGGAGTAATGAATGGAAACATTTTGCAGAACCGTACAAAATGGAGATTAAGAATTTCCGAATAAAAATATAACTACTACAAATTTTGATCGGAAACAAAAAATAATATTAAAAAGACTACGACTAGTACACACCTGGACACAGCGACCCTCCAATTGGTAATGTATGCAATTGCCAAATAACAGGTAAAGCACATCCTTTTAAACTGCCCAAAATATACTATACTGTGTCCCGTTTGTAATTTCAAATTAAAGAAACCCGAAGAGAAAATTTCAGTGATAATAAGCGAATTTCAGAAGTAATCTACTTCCTAACAAACTCAATGATGTATGATAAAATGTAACTCTTCACAGTATCGTCGCTAATATGTATAACCAAATGTAAATAGTTGATGCGACTTTATAACACTTAAAAAAATCTTATCATGCGTATTAAGGTAATTAATGCTGTTATATGCAGATTGGAGCTTCCATTTATTCCCTACAGTGCTCTGGGGAATCCAATTAAACACAACACTTTCATTAGGTGCAACGAATGTTCTATTCTACTTGTAAACCCAATAAGAAACTTATGAGTAAAATGAAATACCTACATTTGCGCTGGTCTTTATGAATTACTTTATGAAATGTAATTTTGCATAAAAATCCGTAGTCTGCCAATAATAAGTAGTAATAGTAATAGGTATACATATAATGCATATGTATTTGCTGATTATACACGACGTTCTATGTATGAAAAATGCGATTTCAATAAGACAAATTTTTGTACTTAAGTAATTTGTAATAAATAACAAATAGATATAAGATTTTCATTGTCAATAACAACTACATGTTTCATTTAAACGAAATTCATCTCAATAATTACTCGAATAACTTATTTATTTTGAAGATTATGTTGTACTGAAAATAAAACATATAACCTTAAATGAAGGAACGATAAATAATAAATAACAAGTAATAAACAATAATTAATAAATAGTAGCTGAAGCTACTTTTCTAAATAACAAATAACTTTATTATTTTTAATAATTTACTCATATCTGTTAGGATAAAAAATAATTATTTCTCCTTTTCATAAAAATTTCCAAATGAGAAATCATTTATCATTGAAATAATTATTTATGTGAAGATTAATTTAATTAAAAAACATCTGTGTAACTGATACAACGAATCAACAAATAACCGAATAACTATTCTGCTGCCTAAAATGAAATATTGTGAATCTACGTACAAATTGGTTTGCCGGTGTGAATAAATTAGATATCAATTTCATAAATGCACCGTCACTAGAGGCCTAGTAAATAAATTCCAACTTTTCCAGTGATAATATAGATAACGGAAGTACGCGAAGACGATAACATTCCGATCGATAAATAAAAACCATCAAGAGTATAACAGGCTCGGTTGAAAATGATTTGAAATACAAAATAAAAAATAGAAAATATTTTCCAATTTTCAAACGAAAATTATAAAAGAATACAATAAAGAATTAAAAATAACATACAATGGGGAAGAATTTCCCTACTGAATTAGTATTTTACAAAATTTCAATTATCCTTACGTTATGAAAGGCATGAAATTCTATTTAGCAAAATATTAATGACCTTTGTAACATGGAAAAGAAACATGCTGTGATATTCCGTTGCACTGCATTTTATTTATAACCATACAACATGGTTAGTACTTTTATTTTATTACTTAATAAATAAAGTTGTATGAAAATTATCTTTGAGACCGGCTCTCAATTTTCAAGAGAGATATTAGCTGAATTTCATCAAAATCCATCGTCTATTTTAATTCATTTTAAACACTTTCCAGTGGTTTCACTGGTAAAATAAGTAGCGATTCGTAAAAAGTATAAACCTAGTTCTAACCAGATATGCAAATGGTAACTAGTAGTGATAATTTCCAGTCACAAAACTGTAAAGACTTAAAATATTCCATTGTTTTTTCCAAGCTTATTGTAATTTATAAACAAGTTAATATCCACAGTCCAGAAATAAGTAAATAATCTGAAGATTTTCATTCAAGCTTTCATCAGAATCGGTGAACGGGACCTGAGCACAATGTGTGCTAAGTATATGTATGTACTTGGCGAGTCTGCTTGGAGAGGTGATGCAAGAATCGGTAGGTCTGTCCGTAGATACACGTGCCCGTGCAATAAAATGAAAAGGTTGGAGCATCTATAACGTGTGACCGTATATGTTTTCTCTAAAGTACTCGACAAACGTTCGTGTCGCAAAAATATCACGGTAATCAGTTTTCGAAACCTACTACGCCCTGTAGAGAACACTTTGGGGATAATTTTGACCCTTCCTGGTATTGTTGGTAATTATTTAGCAACACGTAATTGGGATGTAGTTCTGAAAAGCAAAATTGTCCCAAATATGTACTTCCAAATGAACATATGTAATCGGTTTTTTAGCGCAATTGTAAATACTGAGATAACACTAAAATAACAGATATGTATATCTTTATATACTAAACACACAAAGTGACGTAGCACGTAGAACGACCTACTCACCCTGCAGCTGAAATCGTGACATAGGGCGGTACTGCAATAAATTTTCTAAAACTGATCCAAACTAATTATTGTATGTGGACCCATCCACCAACTGCGATTCAAAACACGCTTTATTCGTTATCATCATAACGTTAACACTTTGCCGGCCGCTGTCACGCTGGCGTGACTTTTGCTCGCCAACGGTTATCGGCCGCTGTCACGTACGCGTGACTTATGTTCGCCAACAATGATGCTTCATATCGACGTTTGTATAGGTAGACATATTATGGAAAAGCAACATTTGACGATCAGGGAACATTGGTTTCAACTGTTTTCCCCTCCCTATTCACCCGACTATCTTTTATTGAAATCTTTTTTCGCGGATAATATTCCAACTACTTATGTTGCGAAAAGTTGCGTAAATATCACCGTTGGCGAGCAGTAGTACTTGCGTGAATCTCGCCGGCGGTACCGTAACGGCGCTTCGATAAATGCGCGGCCGGCAAAGTGTTAACATGTCTCTTGTCACAGTGAATAATTTTCCCATGATTATAGCATTACATTCAATTAATATTCAATTATGCCAAAAACCTTTTTACATATATGTTCATTTCGAAGTACACGGGCCTCGCGATTACTGACTCTTTGTTGATATGTAATTATTGTCTAGGCGTCATCCCCACCACTGGGGGGCGGGAGGCCGTGAAACTAGACAACTACATACTTTGTTGCCGCGGCGCGCCGAGGTGGCTCTCCCGTTCACAAGCCGACGACTCAACATTGGGAGCCCACAAAAAGGTTACATTCCCGGGTGTCGGTGAGAGAATACTAATGCAACGATAAAACTTTTTTATTTTTAGTTCTTTATTAATGAAATTTTTATGAACATATTGGTGAGATTTTTCTTATTAAAATGATACCAAACACGACACAATTTGAATCATATTTACATATGATTTGTCGAAAGCGATACTGAACGAATATGAAATATTAACACTTTCTACATGAGTGAATATGATCCAAATTATGTCGTGTTTGGTATCATTTTAATTAGAAAAATCTGACCAATATACTAGTAAAAGATTCATTAACAACGAATCAAAAATAAAAAAGTTTCATCGTTGCATTAGCGTTGTCTCACCGATATCCGGGAATGTAACCTTTTTTGGCTCGTGAATGGGAAGCCGTCTCGGAGCACCGTGCAACAATGTATGCGCTCGATGGACTCGACGGACGGAGCGGGGGAATGTACGACGATTATATTAGTCGAAGCGTTCAATCGTCAGCGCCTGCCCAGAGAGCTGCCGACGAATTAAATGTAGCTGGATCACCTCCATTCAAACGTCTTATTATTATTGGCCGAAACGGTACACACACAATTGGACTGTGTGATCAGCTATAATATAACCATTGGTCGGCGAGAGCGTCGCAGGCGGGCCATGTAGCCGAGTCGAGTGGGAAACTAAACTCTCTCTCTCTCTCTCTCTCTCTGTTTTTCACTGGCTTGTCCTTTTCTATGTTCGGAATACTCTACAAAGGCGAGTTGTCGAGGCTCGAGCTTCGGGAAAAAAACGTATTCACGAAGGTGAGAAACGTTTCGCGTACTCCATGATTATCGTCCCCTCGCGGACCCGAGTTAGAGACCATAATCGCAAGACCCCTGTATTTGGGACGATTTTAGCTAGTTTCACTAAAACCGGATGTGTTGAGTCTTTTCGGAACTGCAGCAAAAAAAATCGACACATTGTTTAATAATACGAAATTGGGGTGAATGAGGGTGGGAAAGGGAGCTAAATGAAATTTAACGAAAAATATTAAATATTGGAGCAACTTTAATACGGACGTATTACTGTTACAAGCGTTATCATTTGTAAGTTCCTTCAGGAAGGTATAACAGAAAACGAATCTAATAAAACGTTAAAATAACATCGTATGTTTCAATATCATTCAAATAAAACACTAATTTATATTAACAATTTTACAAAGCTCCGAAATAACTCAAGCTATTGGCCATATTAAAATGAACAACGGTTTTACCTAGCTCTGGTGGACAAAGATTTAGAAAGCGTCAGTATGCATATTACGTTTCAAAATACATATAAGTAATAAAGTTTTTCGTTGTAGTCATTACTGTCACTTTTTATTTAAAAATTTCATCTTTATCCTCCCCCGAAAGTTGATTGCAACGTGCACGGGGTTCATCGAACGCGAATCATGACGTAAGCCGCACACGCGTGCGCGCGCGCGATTAGACCACATGGCATGCGGTAATTCTAAAGGACGAAATAGACGCCGGGCTTCGATCTTTCGGAAACATCGGTATGGGTTTCAACGCTTACCAAGCTCCGCGTAACAGAGGGCACCGACCAGAGATAACAGCCCGGAAAATATCCATACAATTAGCGCTTGTCCGACGCTGCCGCTGTTCCTCAAAACACCTTTCGGCGAGACGAAGATTCCGGCGCCCACGATGATCCCGACGATGATCGCAACACCGTCCCATAGTCCGAGCTCCTTTTTCAATTTCACGGTGTTGGAGTCGCCGGATTTGGCGGTCCCTAAGACCTGCTTTTCAGCCGGCGCGACTTTGTCCGGCATCTCGTGTGTGTATGTGTATGGGAGTCCTCTCTCCTATTCCGTTTCTTCGTTTCACTCGGTTAAAACTGTTGCTCGCCCGCGACACTTCCCGATTAACCGACGAAAACGTACTGAACGGTCCCGTTGATCATGCCGCGTTGAGACACACGACCGATACGATATGCACGTGTGAATACGAAAAAAGACAGGAGGGGGGAGGGGAAACGGAAGAGGAAGCGAGAGGCAGCAGCGTAGAGGACGGGGAGACCGCGTGGCGTCCTTTACTCGGTGGATACACGTGCTCGACTGCTGCAATCCCGTCTGCAACAACGACAGAGTCGCCGTCTCGCGGACACCATACTTCTAATTCGTGTTGGCCCGCGCTCCTCGTGTTCGCTCGATGTTTCGCTCGTACGCACTTTGTCCTCCTGTTCATTCAACTCCCGATCAGCTGACCGGAGAGTTTATTTTGACAGAAACGCGGGAAAATTATATACACCGTTTTCAGTTCTTGGCCGCAGGTCCTTTTGCGCGACCAAGCGGATTGTGTCACCTTGAAACTTTCGACGGTTCGAACTCCTTCGTTCTGTGCGTTCCAAGATCGGTAACCTTGAAATTGTCGTGCGAACGGTTTTATTTGCAAATTCAAAGGAATCAGGTATTACTTATTTTGGGAGCTGGAAAGTTGACGTCTCTACGAGAAATGTGGGTCCGCATTCGTCAAAATTTCATCTCTGTTCTATTGTCCATTTTTTTCTCGCGCTACTGCAAGGACAAAGATATTCGTATTTTCATCACTGACTGGAATGCTAATGTCGACGAAGTGAGTTAGGTGATACCACGTGACAAAGAGAATGATTAGAATGCATTTGGAACGAGTGAAATACAGCAATAGTGAAACAACCTATGAAGTTCAAACAGATGTTATACATGTCTCCTCGGTGTGTCAACTACTAATGCAAAATAAACATTTTCCTGTTTCTTAGAATATGTTCACGAAAGTAGTATTAACGATTTTAAATTGTTTTAACTCTAACGAGTAGGAACTATTTGATTGTTTTTCTTCAGAGAAATCGTTTTCCATAAATCTTGTATGTATGCACACCGTCAGTACAGTTCCGTCACAATACATATACAGTGGGCTGGAAACCTATTGTTTGTGGCCAAAATTATTTTAGTGTCATTTCAAGGTTTAAGATTATAGGATAGTAAGTCGTTGAATTCATCTCGACACCAGCTAGAATATTATGAAGTTAAAAATATACAGGGTGACCCACATAACTCTTAACAGCTCAATATCTCGAAAATTATGCCATCAATTTTAAAGTTCTTGGTTTTAAATTGCATGAATCTGAAGGGCCTTTCTACCTACATAAACGTAAAGTGGCCCTCCCTTCCCCTTTAAAGGGGGCGGGGGTACCTTATAATTTTAAATGGAACCCCCTATAAAACGTTACATATTTAGATTCTACAGGAAAAAAAAGTAAATTTTGTCGGAAACACTTTTTTGTGAGATATTTCCATGATGAGATATAACAGTTTGAAGTTTAAACTTGTAGGTACTTACTTGGAGCGCTCCGACATTTCGTTATTGCATTATACACGCTTGAGTCCTTTGCTTATTCGTGAAGAAATAAAATGTTCTTTAAATTAAATGTTCAAAATGTCCACCACGGGCTTGTAAACATTTATTTATTCGAAACATGAAAGTTCTTCTAACATTTGTTAACATTTCGGGAGTCAGTGAAGCGTCACACAAGCGTCACGTATTCTTTGTTTCATATTCTCTTTTGTCGTCGGCGGTTCAAACATAACTTTGTCCTTTACATATCCCCATAAGAAAAAATCTAATGGTGTTAGATCGGGAGATTGAGGAGACCATTGATGACATTTAACAAATGTTAGAACAATTTTGATGTTTCTAGTAAATAAATGTTTACAAGCCCATGGTGGACATTTTGAACATTTAATTTAAAGAACATTTTATTTCTTCACGAATAAGCAAAGGACTCAAGCGCGTATAATTCAATAACGCAATTTCCGAGCGCTTCAAGTAAGTACCTACAAGTTTAAACTTCAAACTGTTATATCTCATCATGGAAATATCTCACAAAAAAATGTTTCAGATAAAATTTACTTGTTTTTTCCTGTAGAATCTAAATATGTAACATTTTATAGGGGGTTCCATTTAAAATTATAAAGGTACCCCCGCCCCCCTTAAAGGGGAAGGGAGGGCCGCTTTACATTTATGTAGTTAGAAAGGCCCTTCAGATTCATGCAATTTAAGACCAAGAACTTTAAAATCGATGACATAGTTTTCGAGATATTGAGCTGTTAAGAGTTATGTGGGCCACCCTGTATATTAACATTTAAAAGATCAATATGACCTCCATTTTTTATATTGAAATTTGTACAAAATTGAGTACTGATCAACATTTGTTGGAAACAGTTTTTTTCCAAATCATCGGAAATGTCTGAAAAATCGTGCAAATGCTAAGTGGTCTAGAAAGTGATATTTTGTGGCCAAAATTAAAAATACCTTTATATCAACTTCTTTTCGAGATAAAAAAGTTGCAGGTAGTTACACTTGAAATTTGTGTATTGCTTCTCATAATTGTCTAAGTCTAAGCTTTCATATGAAACAAGTTCCATGTTTAACACTTCTAAACATTTTTTTAAAACCCTTCTCAAAGTTTAAATTGTTATAAGTATTGCGACATTTGTACATGGATGAAATAATTCTTAAGAACTAATTGAATAATGAAAGTACGCCTATTAATATGTATACATATACAGCGTGGGGCAATAACTATGTCCACTTTGAATATGGCCGTTATTTGTAATAATATGAAAAAATGTTATATACAAATGATACACGGTATAGAGGGTGGCATATTGTAACACAAAAATTTTCTGCGTGGGTGAAGGCATAGAGGAGATTTCAAGGTCATCTCTATTTTTTTTAGTGGAATGTTATGTTTTTTTTATGGCGATGTGATATCCGGTGTTGAGACGACTTCAGCGAGCTGTCATTGAAGGTCATGCAAGGTTACATGTGGTAGTAAAATAAACTTTCTTACATTAGAGGAGATGCTCGAAGTGGTGACCGTTTGCATCGATGCAAAGTTGGAATCTTCGTATCGTTGCATTACGTGCATGTCTTATTGTTTCTGAACTTATTGTAGCACATGCTGTATTATTTCATAGGGGACTTTATTAGAAAATGAACTACTAAACGTTCGCCCAATGATGTGGTTACAGCACGACGGGTGTCCAGCACATTATGCTCGGAGAATAAGAGATACACTGAACAAACTTTACCCAAATAAATGGATAGGACGTGGAGGATTAGTTTCTTGGCCACCTCGTTCTTCAGATTTAACTCCATTAGGTTTTTTTCTCTGGGGAGCATTGAAAAATGCTGTTTATCAAGAAGTACTCCCTACACCAGAAAATATGGTAACGGATAATTGCAGCATGTACTAGAATAAGTTCAGAAACGATAAGACATGCACGTGATGCAGCGATACGAAGATTGCAACTTTGCATTGACGCAAACGGTCACCACTTCGAGCATCTCCTGTAATGTAATAAAGTTTATTTTACTACCGCATTTGACCTTGCATGACCTTCAATGACAGCTCGTTGAAGTTGTCTCAACACCGGCTATCACATCGCGATAAAAAAAACATAGCATTCCACTAAAAAAAATAGAGATGACCTTGAAATCTCTACGCCTTCACCCACGCAGAAAATGTTTGTGTCACAATATGCCCCCCTCTATACCGTGTAAGTTTTGTATTTAACATTTTATAATATTATTACAAGTAACGGCAATATTCAAAGTGGACATAGTTATTGCCCCACCCTGTATACAGGGTGAGGCACTTAAAACCGGCCACCTGAATAACTTGGCTGCTATTGGTGATAGGTAAAAATGCATCAGGCCACAATTATTTGGTATCGAGAGGCTGATCATTCGATGTTACTAGTTCTTTGATAGGTGCAAACATCAAGGAGATATGAAGGTCATCTCTGTGTTTTTAAATGGAACGGTATGTTTTTTTACTTACATTCTGATAGAGTATTTCAAGATGAATAAAATAATTTACTTTGAGGAAATGATCGAACACTTCCTTGCCGTCTTTGGTTGTTGATATTATTACTTCATCTCTGTCTCGTAACCTCTTGTTATGGGTCGTTGAATGGAAATAAACATTCAATCACGCTGTACGCTTTTCATCTGTACATACTATGATTAGTCGTATATGCGAATCTCTGCCGAGCGAAGTGTGTCTCAAGTTTCCGAAATGCGTTATTCAATAGCGGAGAAAGTACGAGATATGGTTTTTGTTTATGGGAAATGTCGCCAAATTGTACGAGATGTAATCCGTTTGTATGTTGAACGGTTTCCCGAACGTGTCACACCTTCACGATCTGCATTTACGAATGTTATTAAAAGTTTTCAAGAACCTGCACGTGTAGATAACAAAATACGAAGAAGATCCAAGGCAGCAACTTGGTGATCGAAATACAGTGGGCATTTTAGCAGCTGTAACATAAAATCCCCATGCTAATACAAGGCAGCTAGCACGTAAAAGTGGCATCAGTCAAAACAAGTATTTTGCGAATATTACATTTAAATAAATTCCACGCTTTTCATGTTTCACTTCACCAAGCATTACATGGGAATGATTTTCAAAACCGTGTAAATTTTTGTGAATGGGGTCTACAGAAATTCCAGAGTGATGAGATGTTTTTGACTAAAGTTTTGTTTACGGACGAAGCCACATTTACAAACTGTGGCCAAGTCAATCGTCATAATATGCATTATTGGTCAATAGAAAATCCACGGTGGCTGCGAGAAATGGATAAACAAAGACCTTGGTCGGTAAACGTTTGGTGCGGAGTTCTCAACGGTGAAATAATTGGTCCTTATTTTATCGATGGCACATTAAACACTTCGAGATATAAACACATTTTAACGAAAATTTTGCGACACCTGCTGAAAAATATTCCGCTTCACATACGGCAAACTATGTGGTTCCAACAAGATGGATGCCCTGCTCATTCTGCATGGATAATTACTCAATTCCTCAACGTGACATTCGGAGATCGTTGGATTGGTTGTGCAGGAAATCATAAATGGCCCGCACGTTCTCCAGATTTAACACCTCTGAACTTCTATTTGTGGGGAAAATTAAAGCAGCAAGTGTATAATAAAATACCAACAACCAAAGAAGATATGAAAGAGGCTATAAGAAGAGCTTGTGCCGCGATAAACCCAACTGAAATTCAACATGCTGTATTACCCGTCAAAATAAATAAATCAACGGCGCTTGATCATTTCCTCAAAGTAAATTATTTTCCATCGCAATTGGCTTAACCCAGATCACGAATGACCTTTCCAATAGGTCACTGTATTCGTCTTGGAATACTCTATCAGAATGTAAGTAAAAAAATGTA